CGGGCCGGGCCGGGTCGTGACCCAGCCCAGATTTTGGCCATGTCTAGATACATCCTTCTTATTATGTTATTTACTGACCAAAACATATCCTATTTATTAATTAAAAATTATTTACTTTGCTTCACTCATATTATTTTAATATATATTTTTTTTAATAAATAACCATCCCTACACATTTATTTATAAAATCTCACAATCGTTCAAATATTTATAAAGGCAAAATTATAATTTTAGTCGTGTTGGTTTGATCAGCAGCGTTTTTCGTCATAAGAATTGAACATTTTTGTTTTTTAGTCATATGATTTTAAAATTCAACGCAATTTCAGTCATTACAGGATTGAAAATACAATTTAAATTTTGTTGCGTTTTCAGTCCCAAAGGATTAGAATTGCAGCAAAATATTAAATTACAAGATCAAAAGACAAAAAATAAAATTATAGGACTGAAAATGCTACAGCGTTATACCATCAGGACTAAAAATGTAATTTTGTCATTTATAAATTACATAGTCAATCATTACCGTAATATGTATCTTTCACTTTAAAACTAATTCTCATTATATTACTATTAAAATAATTCCTAATTCTGCAGCTTTACTTTTTTTTTCGATACAAAAAAGGGCTAAGTACCAAAGCGCCTAGGTAGAAGAAGGGGCTAGAACTCGGCGAGAATGTGACAACCCCTATGAAATCATGGTTCAGCTGGGGCTAGAACTCGGCGAGAATGTGACAACCCCTATGAAATCATGGTTCAACTAAGCGCCCAAACCAACGGGAGGAGAAGCCATACGGTCTAAGGTAAGTGGATAAGACAAAGCCGTGCTAGCTATATAGTCAATCGCAAAATTAACTTTCTTATGCATGTGGTGGATCTTGACACGCCAATGAAGATGGACTAACCCACTATACTTTTTTATTGATAAAAAATAATCAACTAATCAATGAATTTAATCAGTCAACCATATTGTCTTCATTTCTCAATAATAATAATCAAAATATCTCTGATCAGTATTTAATATCAAATTCTGCTGCATCTTCTCCACCATTTCTTTACGCGCTCTCTGCATACGAAAAATCATTCAATCAATCACTCTCCCAACAGAATCACTCACTTTCGATTTGGGAATTTAGGGTTCATACAACACTCTACCTCAAACCCCTCTCGCAGTCCGTGGATGGGTGAGGAGGGAATGGTCGCCCACAAGAAGCTCACGATCCTGCCCCTCATCGCCCTAATCTTCTACGAGGTCTCCGGCGGCCCCTTCGGCGTTGAGGACTCCGTCAGATCCGGCGGCGGGCCCCTCCTCTCCCTACTCGGCTTCCTCGTCTTCCCCTTCTTCTGGAGCATCCCGGAGGCACTGGTCACGGCGGAGCTCGCCACCAGCTTCCCGGCCAACGGCGGCTACGTCCTCTGGATCTCGTCGGCCTTCGGCCCCTTCTGGGGCTTCCAGGAGGGCCTCTGGAAGTGGTTCAGCGGGGTCATGGACAACGCACTCTACCCGGTCCTCTTCCTCGACTACCTCAAACGCTCCTTCCCGGTTTTCGAACAGACGGCCGCCCGGATCCCGGCCCTGCTGGCCATTACGGTCGTGCTGACGTATTTGAACTACAGAGGACTGCACATTGTGGGCTACTCGGCCGTCTTACTCGCTTGTTTCTCGCTTTTCCCATTTCTCGTGATGGGCATATTGGCCGTACCCCGTCTCCAGCCCAGGAGATGGCTTGCCATGGATTACCGGAGAGTAAGCTGGCGGGGCTACTTCAATAGCCTCTTCTGGAACTTGAACTACTGGGATAACGCCAGTACGCTGGCAGGTGAGGTTGAGAACCCGGCCCGGGCCTTCCCCAGGGCCTTGTTTGGGGCAATTGTTCTGGTTGTGTGCTCGTATCTTGTTCCTCTGCTGGCGGGTACAGGGGCTGTGCAGACGGACCCCGGAGATTGGAGTGACGGGTATTTTGCGGAGGTGGGAATGTTGATCGGAGGCCAGTGGCTGAGGTGGTGGATTCAGGCGGCGGCCGCTTTCTCGAACTTGGGCCTATTTGAGGCTGAGATGAGCAGTGATGCTTACCAGCTTTTGGGGATGAGCGAGATAGGGATGCTGCCAGCAGTGTTTGCTTCCAGGTCAGTTTATTGGGTCTGTTGTCATCTTGATATTTGAATATTTTGTGGGGAAGTTAGCTTTCGATTTTTACTGCCGCAAGGAATTGTTTGTGTTGTTATGAGTTATGAGGTGATGAGAATTGACCTGTATAAATAATTGGCTTTAGGTGAAGCTTGAGGAGGATTCATACGAATGGGTTATGTTTTGTTCAATTCATTTTCATGTTCCTTTTAGGATTTCAGTTGTATTTACTTGAACATCTTGTTAATAGCCCGGTATTAGAGACTGTGCGGTGATGTGGATATGTTATTGATATGCTATAGGAGAAATGTGGAATGCAGTGTGTGATGGAAGATTGGAACTGGAAATTTGGAACCTTTGTGGCACGATTATGTTTTCTTTTGAGGAATTTACTTTGTACATGAGGTTCATTTTTGCCAAGTCCCATAGAGGAACTGTGTGTTGAGGTTTTGAGGATACAACAGCACGTGTAAAGCGATCGACTTTCTTTAAGTAACATGACGGTTGATGCTAGAGACTCATTTATATTTACATCATTAGATTTTTTAGCAGCTGCATTGGACAAATATAGTCATTTTATCTGAAATTCGATGCTTTAGTTTGTCGTTGCACATTTATTTGTTGGGTATTCATAAAAGAATCATGGAGGTTTACTTTTTCCTTCCTTTTTTTTTAATTAATCATTCCTTATATAATCTAAAGCGTAGTATAAAATTTACTTTTTCCTAGTTTCCAAATCATTTAAATCCCCTTAATCTTGCAGATCAAAATACAACACACCCACATTCAGCATCTTGTGCTCTGCATCGGGCGTGATACTCCTATCTTGGATGAGCTTTCAAGAAATCCTCGAATTCCTCAACTTCCTTTATGCAATCGGCATGCTTTTCGAATTTGCTGCATTCATAATGTTACGAATAAAAAAACCGGACCTACACAGACCTTACCGAGTCCCCCTGCAAACTACCGGCTCGATTTTCCTCTGCTTGCCACCTGTACTCTTACTGGCGCTCGTCATGTCCCTTGCGTCCCTTAACACATTCCTAGTCAGTGGTGTCGTGATTTTGTTCGGGTTTGCTCTTTATCCAGCTTTGATTCAAGCAAAGGAGAGAAAGTGGGTTGATTTCCACACCGATATCGGATTAGACTCAGGTGGCGACAATCTCGAGAGACAGGCGGTTGTGTTGGAAAACGGGCAGGTTAGCGACGAGGCAGCCCGTGGCCTTTTAGAAGGATCTTCTGCTGATTTTTCACACGAGGACTTTGCAAAATCAGAGTAGAATAAGTTGCAATTTTTTTTTTTTTAATAATTGTAGATTGTGTAATTTGTAAACAAACATATATACAGTTCATTGTGTGTCAGTAATTTATGCACAGTGTTTTTCACCATTAGATACACATGTAGATTATGTTCTGCACATAATCTACGGTAACAAATACTGACGGAACCATTCCGTCATCGGGACTGTAATCGTTCCCCCATTTTTCGACTCTAATAAAAAAAACATGGAATAGAATTTTTGGAACATATGCGCGCAAACAAAAAGGAATGAAACAAAATATATTAGCGCGCTTGGGGCTCGGAAAATTTTCCTCACTTTGCACGAAAAAAGTACAACCAAACAGGCCTTAACTAAACATGACATCCCAAGTGGATTTCTGTGCTCTATGTTGCAACGCGTAAGCCTGCACAACTTATACCGTGTTTGGGTCTTTCTTTTGTTCCTCGATATAGATTTTTTTTCTGCGCCCACCATTGACCGCCGAAAAACAGTGAGACTGTCGATCGGACAGGCAAGATTGGGGATTTATCACTTCGGAGAAAATAGGGAGAAATTAAGCTCCACGCTCGATCTCCACTCGGAGAAATTAGGTCAAATTTCTTACTCTTTTTCTTGTTTCAGTCGAAATTCAATTCGATTTCTTGGGGGTTCGGATTGCGATCCAAGGTTGTTCATTTTGTCTCAAGTTCAATGCCCATTTGTTTATGGCTTCTGATTTTCGTTTATGTACGCTGTTGACAGTTGGGTTTGAATTGTGTTGATGAAAAGACAATTGGGGTGTTTTTGGGATTTGAATTATGTAAATTTTCTTGACGATGTTGTTGTTGAAGTTAATAATGTTGCTGCCTTACTGTTTGGTTGTGTAAATTTTGCTAATTTTAAGGATTTCTTCGTTTTCTTGGAGGAACAAAACTGATAATTAGCTGATCTATGTGAATTGCGTTTAGATTTTATGCAAATAGTTGAGTTTGCTACTGTTTCGTAGTACCAACTCAGAGCACTGACTCGAGATCTGTTAGCATTTCTTTCAGAGTGTTTTGCAGTTAATGACTAAAACAAGAAAAGGATAAGAAGAACAAAAAAGGAAAAGAAAATGATGGCCAACCATCATTTTACTCGTATAGACACGCTCGAGATCAAAGAACACATATTCCGAAAGGTTGGGCCGCAGAGAGCTGAGAAGTACTTTGATCAGCTCAAGCGTTTTTTCGCCATGAAGCTTAGCAAAGCCGAGTTTGACAGGAGCTGCATACGAGCAATCGGCCGAGAAAATCTCCCTCTCCATAACAAACTCATTCGGTCCATTCTCCAAAACGCGTGTCGGGCCAAAGTCCCTCCTCAAAAACCGGAAAAGCCCGAAAAACTCAGCAGCATCAATCGTCTGCAGTCTCTGTATGGGAACCGCAAGTTCCGGGACCGTCCGAGCCCATTGGGCCCACTCGGAAAAAGCCCAAGTCTGACGTGCGAGGAGACCTTCACGAGGACACAAGAACAGCAGAGCGCCACTGAGCTGCACTCGATCGGGAGCCGGCCGCCGGTTCTTGAGGAGGGTGAGGAAGTTGAGCAGTTGAACGAAAGTCTCAATTTTCGGAGGTGGGGCCTCATCACTGCCCCTATTGGTGTCTCAGTTAGTTCGGGTGAGGATCGCAATAATGATGTTCCTTGCGGTTTTACTTTTGATGATCTAAGGGAAAAATGTGAAAATAGTGGGGGATTGCCCGATACGGGTTCTCTGAGGAGCCGATTGCAGAAGAAGTTGGCTTCAGAAGGAGTTGGAATCTCTTTAGAATGTGTGAATTTGTTGAATAATGGTTTGGATGCCTTTTTGAAGAGGTTAATCGAGCCGTGTGTAGGTATAGCCGGTTCAGGGGTGGTGGGTTCTTGTATTCTTGGGGGACAATATAGTTGTAATAAGAATTTTAATAATAGTCAGGTGATGCCTGGATTTAATGGCGGGAAGTTTGTGGGTAGACCGAGTAAGCAGACGAACGTGAGCATGCTCGACTTTCGGGTTGCAATGGAGTCGAATCCTAGGGTTCTTGGGGAAGATTGGCCTTTGCAGCTCGAGAAAATCTATCATTATTCCTCGTGCTAGGAGTACGAAAAATTGGGGAGAAAATAAGCAAGAATCGAAGGTACCGGCCGGTCATTAGGTAAAATATTGTTGACATTAGTCATTAGGAAGGAGGAGAGGCTTTTCTTTGTCATTTTTTTTTTAGCAAGCAATTTTACAATTGACACATTTGATAAGGTTTTTACCTAGTTTTGTTGTCTGTTTAAGAGTTTTATATGATTTTTCTGGTTGTACCTTCTACAATGTATGTTGTAAAGAGAACAAGCATTTCAGTGTGCCCTGTATTGTTTGATTTCCAATTAAGAATGGAATTAAATGTTAATGTGAAATATTAATAGAATTCATCCATTTTCATGTAACTAGGAAAATTGGTAAGTTCTTTACCATTGGATCAACAAATTCTTATGCAGTGCCAAATGGTAAACGAATTTACCGTGTAACTGATGGATCAATACTTTTTACTTGTCCGATTACAACAATTCCCTGTAAATTCGAAATTTACCATTGCTAATTCCAGAAGATCAATAGAATCGTCCATACGAAAGCTCTATCTGGAGAATTCGAGCCCCTATGCTTCTTCTACTTCATAAAGCCACAATCAGGAATCGGAGTTATTTGCAAGGTATATATAATTATCGCGCTTTGGAGATTGCACATTCTTCAGCCAATAAACCATCTCAACTTGTGCCCACTTTCGCTAAGCTTGCCGTGTAAGTCATGTAAATGGTCCATAGGTACGAAAATGAGTTGGTTACCAGTGGCTGCAAAATTCGAGAACAAACGAAAATATAAGCCAATTTGAGGACAAAGATTTATTGAAATCTTATAATATTCAAAAAGAGGGCTTAAAAATGGTGAAATGGGGTGAGATAAGGGAAAAGAAACAAAAGGTCTCTAACCTGTAAATGAACCGGGATGAATTTGAATGTAACGAAATCACAAAATGGCCAGTACATTGCGCCATTAATGAATGTAGGAATCAAATCACGTTTCAACCGGGCAAAAATCTCAGGACCAGTTTCACCTGAGAGTGGAAAATATATATACAGCAGCCCATTAGAAACTAGAGACGACATGTGTATATAGAAAGAATGATTTGCCCCAACAAATTCCTTCATAACTTCAACTGATTTTCCTTTCCTCATTGGCTTTATTAACATGGAGAAAACATGGAAGCAGATATATCAAAAAAAGCTCTTTGAAAGAGTGCACTTTGCAGAGTAAAAAACATTGCAACTAGTAAAAGAAATTTCCGAGTGCCTCACTTTTCAGGACAATGCTTTCAAATGAAAAGAATTACATGAGGTAGACAGGTCAAGAATGAATCACAAAAAAACACACCATTCACCGGTATAATCCAAAAACGCCTATTACCAAATGACACAATAAACAAATCTCCAGTCAAGAACCATCACAAGTATCCCATTTCAATAAATAATCAAACTTCTGTTAAATAATCAAAACTCGAGTGGGTTACACTTTAAAGTGATCTCGGCAAGAAGGAAACTTGAAACAATATGCATTCCGCAAATGAAGTCAGTGTAAAGAGTCACAAAACTCGAACTCGTGTACTAACAAAACTTCTACACAACTAGGAACCAACTGTAACTAGTATTAGTATTGACACCTTACAAATGCAAGAAAACAACAATTTCACTAAATATGCCACTGTCTACCTTGCAGAGCAGCATTCATAGATAGGAATATGACGGTCATGGCCGGGCCATAAGTTGTCTGCCCCAAAACCATTTTCATTAAAGTCGACGAAAGATCACGACTCGGGAAAACTCGAGACATGAAATTGTACCAATAATGCACTGAAGGACCCAATATCAACAGCCCATATCCAGCCATACGCACAGTTCTTTTCAAATCATACTCCTCCAATTTCTCACTCACAACAGTCTGCAACAAAATAATAATAATTCTTACACAAAGTACAATATGAAATAAGATGCAACCTTTCTTTCTTCATAATTCCTGGTCACAAATCGAAAGGTAGAAAACGGGCATTTTCACAATCAACGATTATTTCAGACTACCTGGGAAGAAATGTCGGCGGCGGCATAGATGATGGCTGAGGTGACGCATTTGGTGGAAATGGGTCGGCTCTGGAGCATACCCAAGTACCAGCCCACAAGCCCGGATTTCTGAGAAGATGATACCCTAGACGAGAAACTGGACGAACCTGAGATCGGGTCAGAAAAGTCCGTCTCTTTCGCCTTCCGGAAAACGGAGTGCGCGAAACGGGTGACCCGTTTGTGTTGTTGGACGCTTGTGCTGGTAACCGGATCGGGCGTGGAGCATTTGATACTCCTCTTGTGGAGAAGTTGTTTTAAGGAGGGAAAGGTACGGGAAGTGAAGCGGCCGTGCTTCGTTAGTGCGGCGGCCATGGATGCCGGAAAATAGGAGGCCCTCCGTGTTTGATTGTTCTTCTGTTTTTTTTTCTGAGGGGTTTTGGGGGGAAGGGGAGGTTTTGGGAGGGCTGAAGGTGGAAAATGAGAAATTTATGGGGGCGTGAATTTAAATAGTTAACAAATTAGGTTAGTGGTAGAAAATGGGTGGTGTATAATGTATTGGTTACAGTTCGGCAGGAGGTGCCCTCACTAATCGCCAGTGTGCGTGTGTGTTACACGCGGTTCTCAAAGCAATGAAAAAGATTATGTAGAAATGAAAAAAAAAAACAAATATTGCTACTTTTTATCTATATCTATACACAAATGTTTGTATTTTATCTTTAATATAGTAACTAAAATCCTGAGAACAAAAAAATTACCTTTATAGTAATTTTTTAATATTTTTAGAAATGGCGGCCAATTATTTGAAATATAAATTAAAAAAAAATATAATTAATGTGCATAATTATTTTAGTTAAATATTGCAGCTATTATTATTATTATTATTATTATTATTATTATTATTATTATTATTATTTGCATAGTATAAATTTGGTATAAAGTGGCGACTTCATTTTATGTGTCTGATGGCCATTTTTTATTTTTGGTAAGAAATGTGTTGTTATTAGTAAATGTCTGAATTTATCATAAAGTAAGCGATTTTATTTTGGTATAAAATATTCAAATATGGTATGAAATTTATTTGGTATAGTTATAATTGTATTTGAAAATTATGAAAACAAAATAAGTTGTATGAATTTTATTTTAGGTTCATTTGTTATAATATCAAGTGATTCTCAAAATTTAGCCTATTCATATAATAAATTGTCATAAGATATTGATAATAACTTATCATAATATATTGATAATAATTCAACTAATTTGTACATCCTTTTTTTGAACTTTTGTAAAACTCGGTAAAAAAAACAAAAGGAAAAAAAAATCGACAACGACTATTTGAAGGTGAATAGTTGATTATGAAAGATAATGCTGGGATTTAATCTAATATTAATATATAAAAAATTCCAACCACAATTTATTTATTTATTGAAATATTTAGCATATTTTATATTAGTATTTTTCAAATTACGCTTACACGCGGCTATCCAAAATTCAAGTTATTTGTGAATGTGTGTAAATGCAGAGTTAATGATGTTATGAGATTTTGTGTAGAACTTAATGGAATGGTGCGTTTGAGAAGTCTTAACTAATACACTTGTCTATATCGTTTTTTTTTTGTTTAAATAATAGATAATATTATAAATCAAAATACACATGCGAATACACAATTCTTAGTTGAATGGAACATCCAACAGTTGAAAACGTGGGAAGACATGTTAGAAGACCGCTTAGAATCCCGACACTAGCAAAGCTTGAAATACAACACTCGCAACTACACTAAACAAACTACACAAACAAAAACAAAAACTACTAAAAACGATTCCACCAAGATAATGCACGAGTGTCCGATCCCAATAGGATAATAAGTTGACACTCAGACTCACAGGGGCCAACGACCCAAACAAAAAATACAAAACATACCGACACAAACCAGACAAAACAAACGGATAACAATAACTACAACAACAAACAACTAAACAACAGACAAACAACCAGACGAATCAAAACCAACAGATAACTAATCGAATCCAAGAAGATTCTAAGCCTGAGCCCAACTCCCGAAACTGTCGAATCGTCTATACAGAAGCCAACCCC